CAGATTGTGGGCTTCTTCGAGAAAGGTGCCTCAGAAAGATGAGAAGAGTGTCACAGAGAGATCGGATCTGCTGTGAGACGAAGGGCAGTATGCTCAGCTTTTAGAAGGTCACATGGGAAGTGCTCTGTAGGTTGTTTACTGAGCCACCTGATCGAAGCTCCGTGCACCGATCTCTGGGATAGTTCTAGTCCTACAAGGCGAGACGCGCTTTTCTCTGAAAGCCTGAGAAGGCTGGAGGGTGTTTTTGGTTGATGGGTCTCAAGCTTCAGTGTGTCAATTCCCCAGCATGTCCGGGCCTTCAGACTTCAGACATGTTTTTCTTCTCGCCCTGGCTGTGCTCGCTGAACAGGATAGCGCATAGGCATAGAATCATAGAAGGTGTCTTCAGTATGTCTACTCTTCATCGTGTCTAAGCTGGTTCGAAGGGGGCAGGAACAGAACATGCCCCGCTTGTCCGAAAGATGCCCCTCAGCAGCAAAAGGATCCTTCCGTGGTCTACATGGCTACAAAGCGCACCCCGCAGTGAGTTCAGTGGCTCTCGCCAGGCCTTCATTCATCACAGCCGCCTCTGTCTGGTGCAAATCTTTTTTTGGAATGAGTGGGTCCGAAGGAGTTGTCGACCAGCCTACACATCAGGATCAAGCTTTGCAGATCTCTCCCGTGCCTCATGAATTGTTCAAGTTGTAGCTGTTGCATGCTGCCACACTGTGTAGCCTCGGACAGCTCCTTCGTTCTGAGCAGCTACGATCTGCTCTGCAGATCGTGTCGGGCCACGAGAGCAATGCAAAACACCAGGGTATTTGTAGATCGTGGTCGACAAGGCTCCGAGGCAATATTCCCGAAGCAGTTCTTCAGTGAGATCTTGACTCCGTGGCCCTGGTAATGTTTTCGCGAAGTGGTACTGCCGGCTTCCGAAGTCTGCGAGGGAGAGATCCAACTTCTGAAGCCTTGGTGCCAATAAAATCTTGGTTGCAGAGTGCTGTGCTGGCAGTGTCCTGTCTGCCGAAGAAGAAGGCTCTCGCTTAACATATATTCCAAGCAGCAAGGCCAGAAGAAGGAGACTGCTACGAGCACTTTGTATGTCAGGTGGTGACAACTGCACTCTTAGGTAGACAGATCACAATGGGGTGCTGGCTTACTGGGACAGTGGTCGCCACCGGGTCATTAGGGCTCTAGGTTGCATGAGATGGTCGATATCGTCATGCTACTATTGACACATGGAGAGCGCATCGTTCCACGGTGAGTTTCTGGCTGTTAGAGCTGCCAATCGCGAAATGTGTGTTGCAGTGCAGACGTGACGCAATTGCAGGCTCTGGCTCTGTTCCTTGCATTCTCTCTTCTCGTTTATGACTGAAGCTTGCTCACGTGTGCAGGTTCTGAATACGCCTCTTGCCCTGAATCAGCATGGTGTGGAAGTTCTTGATGGTTGTTCAGGAATGTAATGAACACATCCCCGTAGAAGGGCCGAGTTTGATAAAATGAGAGGTGGTGAAGGAGGATCAGATCTGCTCGGTCAACGGTGAGTGCCGGGATCCCTGTGAGCATGCGGCTCCAGTTCTCTGTGTCCCCATGTTGTGCGTCATTCATGCACGGCGGGGTAGCCACACAGCACCTCGAATGCCGTGACCGACATCGGACAGCATATGTGTGACCTGTTCCAACAACAGTGATGCGAAACTTGCGGTCACAGCAGACAACTATGAGTAGAAAGATTCCATGTGCACGCTAAAGATAAACTAACGAAGCGTGACTCTGAGGCTGCACAGGTCTGTCCGACCTCTCACCCAGGTAATCTAAAGGACATCGGAGACCCTCAGAGCTTGAATGTTAACGTTGCAGTCAACCCAAGGCGAAGTGGATGTGATGAAGCAGCTGCTGAAGACCGAGACTGTTCTCCCGGCAGGTTTTGCACCAGCTTCATGTGCCCTCAGTATGCATTGGCCTTCTGGGCATAGCCATGAGCTTCCCTTCCTTGGACCTCATGTCAGGACATCTTCTTGGTGTTTCAGCTCCACACCCAGATTCTGGGCAGGGCTGTGCACTGTCAAGTGTGTTGCAACCACCCGGAAGCGGGGCTTGAGTGATCTTGGGTGCAACTGCGATGCCAGCGCTGAGTTCTTTCTTGCGCAGCTTCTTGAGGTTTGTGGGGTGGGTATTCTTAGCTCACGGTGCTGGCCATGGGATCTTTTGAAGCCGGAGGCTTGCGAACTGAGCTTTTGGATTCCTCAAGGAACTTTTTGCCAAAGCAAAAGGACCACCAACAGGAAGCTGGAGGGAAAGCCCAAAGCAAGGCAAGCGCCGAGCGAAGATCCAAATGTCCGGCAAAGGGTCCGGATTTGTTGGCTACTATAATGAGTAAGACTGTTCCATGAGTAAGATTGTTCCCGTAGAGTCTCCCCCAGCGCGAAACCCTTCGACTTTCGACTGAACGTTTTAGGGTCCCCACAGCGGCATCGGGGAAGAGGCTCCCGGGCCACTCGGTGGCGGCAGCGACCCCCCAACCCCGCGCAAAGCGCCTGAGATTCTGCTTTGGTTGATGGCGTTTTTCATATCTGGACCCGAATCAACTTTTTGCTTTTTTTTCTGTACCCACAAGCCCAGGCTAGGATGACGCCGCTGGGGGCATCTAGCTCCGACCTCCCATCGCCTGGCGGCTTCTGATGCTCTTGATGGGTGGCCGCATGATGCCCAGAAAGGTCGGTTACTGTTAAGGTCGGCGCAAACCGGTTTTGTTGTTTGCTCAAAAGATTTTAAGCCGCTGCAAACGAACCAGAAGCCATGCAATAACAACGAGTTCTCTTGCAACAAAGCATCCAGACCCTGAAGCTTACCCCCCCAGCCGAAATCCGAACAGCCCCGACTGTCAGTCGTCAGAACGACCTCCTTTCCGCGAGGCGGAGGATACGCTGAGTATGCTGAGCCCGTTGCGAGTTGATAGTTACGGACGATGGACTCCCAAAAATCGAACGGTGGCCCGCATGATGCGCAGAAAGATCAGCAGACTGTTAGGATCAGCGCATGTACTGACTCTATTGTGCTGTAGACAACCCAACTCAGCAGCATCTTTCCATTTCCCGAGCTCCTGTCCCGGCACAACCAGCTAATTACTGCCAAAAGTCGATCTCGTCCATGTTTCTTCCGGATGCTTGCAGCGCACGAAGTTCCTTGTTTGAGGGTTTCAGGGTGCTTTGGCGCAGTGCACAGCAGCAGCAAGCTCCGCGCCCAGAAGCGGCACAGCCTCTGAATCTCGGAAGCTCCCGTGTACGCTGGTTCTGACGCACCAAGTCGAACCCAAAGACGCCCAAAGACGAGATGTCGCTTGCGAGCGGTGGCGAAATGCAGCCAGACCAAGACTGATTAACACGACACTTCTTGTGTCCATCGCATTGCGCATGCTCTGCTGAAACTCGGAGCTTGGCTAGAAGGCTAGACGTTGCAAGACTTTTACCCAGAACGCAGGTCGGCATGATATTCGTGTTTGCGGGGGTCAGAGAAACTAAACTTGTGTAGGTCGCAGTTGAGAGAGCTGACTCGCTTTTTTTGAAGCTGCTCCGCTATTCTGAGTTGGGTTCCTAGTTTTCACGAAAGTAGTTCGACTTACATCAGCGTTGTGTTGGCAGCGTTGCGGGATGACGTGTTTTTCGGTAGTGCCCGCCGCTGCACCAGGCACTGTCCGAACCTGCGAAATACGCATTTTGTATGACCGACTTGTTGTGCTTCCCGTGTTAGCTTTTTGTCCGACCCTGGCATACTGCCGTCTTGTTATCTCCTGGATGATCCCATTTTCTGCTAAGTATCTTTATCCGCTGCTAGCTCAGATTGAGTTGCTTAACAAGAGCCGAGGTGAAAGATGCTCAGGCGTAGGGCTTTGGGGGGTATCAGTGGTTGAAACGTCGATTGTTTTTTTTCGGTGTTAAGATGATGGATTTCTGTGTTTCTCATCCCCGCCTTGTCATTTTCAGGGCTGAAGGCCTTTGCTCCCTCGTATGTGCAGTCGGAGCCCAAAGTCCGAAGTCCCAGCATGGCCAGGGGAAGGGGCCAGAAGGGGTTGTGACCGTGACTTCAGCCAGCCTCACAACCGAGTGGCTCAAGCTCCAGCACAAAATCGGCAGGAGCTTGGAGACTACATGTAGTTATTAGCTGGCATCAACTGAATCCGGCGGCTTTGTGCCTACAAGTTAGTATGCATGGCAAGAAGAATGTTTCGAGTCATCTGGCATCACCTCCAGCAGCTCTCAGTCACCTAGCAGCCCTCAGTCCGTCTTACCCTTGACATCGCAAGGCCACTAGTTCCGAAAAGCGAGATTCGTTGTAATCCGCCTTCGGTGTACAGTCTTCGGGCCCAGAAGCCGCCACCAGGACGGTTGGTCTCAACACGTACTGGAGTGTCAGTGTTATCTGAAAAGCTACTGGAGAGCTTCAGATCTTCGCGTCCAGCTTTTCGGAAAGTTGGTGATTTCCCGTTTCATGGCTGAGACCCTTTGCTGAAGTGCTGATGTCGAAGCCCCAGCCACAGGCTCCTCCGGTATAGGAGCTTTCAGTTACTCTCAGCAGTTGGAGAAGGGCTCCTCCAACAAAAACTGAACCCAAGCCCGACACCCAAGTTTGGCAGAGCTCGTAGTGGCGCTGGTTTGGAGGCAACCAGCCCTGGTGCACACAACAAGCCCTTTCCACTCTGTTATGGTCCTGTTCCAGTGTGAGTGGCAATGCTTTATGAAATCCTGGCTGCCAGTAGTCAGAGCAAGGTGCAGGTATGAGTGTTTGCAGCAGCTGCTAGGCACTCAAAATATTTCCCCTTTATTGGTCTGCTTTCGGTATGCTAGTACAGCCGGATATCAAACCAACTTGTCATATTTGAGGCGTGCTGCGGGGTTGGAGAAAAGAAGGGGCTGTGGCTCTCATGGTGTCCGCGATCCGAAGATGCAGAGAAAATCCAGCTCATGTTGGCTTCGTCACATGTTGGCATTCAGCATAAACATGCTGCTTTGGCAGGAGCCGCAATGCATCTTCTCCGAAAGCCACACGGTCGCATTCGGAATGGCTGTTACCCCTGGGAAATGCATGCTGAAATGCTGGATGAGCGGCAAAGGGGCTGCCGGAAACAGTTTTGGTTACCTCTTCCCTGCATAACACTCAACTCTAAACGAGTCCTGTCTGAGGGTGACAACCGGGGCGGAGAAGATGGCCAAGACGGCAGTCCGGTCCCAAGAAAATTCTCCTCGGATAAAAGCTTCGCGAGGGCCACATGCTGCCAGTAGCATCTCGACTGGTCAGTTGCCTTTGCTGACGCTGCCGCATCTTTTTAAAATTCAAGACTTGGAATTCGCTGCCTCTGCTGCCTGTGCCAAGACCTTCAAAAGCCAGAAGTACACCTTCCAGAACATGCTGGAGATGCAGGCTGCCGACGCAGCAAGCAATGGTGGGTGAGAAAGGTAGAGGGGGCTTATCGGCACACCCTGCTACTCCACATCGGCACACCCTGCTACTCCACACTTTCCCTTCCTGTTATGTGTCATTGTTCCAGCCGGCATCATGCCTTTCGTACCCTATGCCCCCAGGTTCGGATACTGCTGGAAGAGGATGCAGAAGGCATGCTACAGGCAGGGGTCTGGTCAAGCAAATGGGTCAAGCTACCCAGCAGCGGCGTGAATGCGGCGATCCCGCAACGCCAGAGGCTGCAAAGCAGGACCTCGACACTGGCATCCCGGTGGTGGGGTGACCAGACTGCAGTGTATGGATGAAGTTGTCTTGAATGCACTTGGCGGATCTTTGATTTTGCTTGTTGCACTGGAAGTGGTAGAGCTGATAGCCTGGGCTTCACGCGACGTAGCCCCGGTCATGACCTCCAAGATGGCTACTGCTGGCAGGGCATACAAGTATGCAACATCAAGTACTGACCCAACACCAAACAGGAAGCTCCCCACCTTGCAACCGTCGCTTGACGATCAGCTGTAACACCTAACAGGACTGTGCCTTCTGTCAGCATTGCTCCAAGGAAGCGCAGGGAAGAGCATGCAAGGAGGATCCGGGAACAGTACAAGCTGATCGTCGATGCGTGGCTGAGTTGGAGCTCTGAAGTCCCGAAGCTAGAGGCAGCAGGTGACTGTTTGCGATCGAATGTCTCTTGCAACGATATGTTTGCCGTCTCGGCTTGAGTTGAAGGCGAGAGAGTGGGTGGAAGACAGAGAAAGCAAGCCTGCAGGGCAGCAACTGCAATACCTAGGTTCTTGTTGTTTCGATTGCTTTCCTGGGTTTGCTGCCCCTTACGGTCGCAGTTCTTTTCGTGGCTGGTGCAAGCAAATGAAAGAGCACGAGGCAGCATGCACAAGAGGTGTTCGTTCCAAGGCGACCCGCAAAAGCTTTCGAAGAGCGTGGTAGTGTTCAGTTTCAACGCAAACCGGCCGCTCCTGAGGCTAGGGTTGCGGGAACTCGGAGTGCACGGGCGAAGCGATGCCCATCACGTCAGTAAAGTGAGTGGAGGCAAGTTTGAGGCATGGACAACAGGGAGATCTTCTGGCGAACTCAAGCAAAGCCGAGGGGTTAAGCATCCATTTTCTATTTGCTTCCTTCAAGTGACCGCCTTCATCGAGGCCCAGCAGAGGCCTTGATGTTGGATCAGTCTTACATGAGTAGCATTCCTTTGCGAGTGCAGTCTCGACGTATGGCCACTTCCGAGGATACTACTCGACCTTTCACGGAGTCTTGCCTGAAGATGGGTGTTGGGGGGACGTCGGGTGCTTCGACAATTAAACTCGTGGATCGGGCTGGAATCATCTGCTAGGTTTTGACCTTGCCCACGTGCCCTTGTTACGGGGTTGATGAGTCCGGATCGCAAAATGCGCACATTGGGGATGGGTTACCAAAACCTCACAACATATCTTCCAAGATTCTTGCCGTTTCTGTGCTTCGAGGAATTTACGGTGCTACCTGAGCAGTTCAGAACTGCTTCTTGGCTGCAGTTCAAGGCTAGAAGATGTCTCCAGAGAGAAATGCTTTCCCTGGGGACATTTGCAAGGAACCTAGGCTCCTCAAGATGGCGGATTATCGGGATTCGCTTTCGTCAGACTGAGGTCAACATGCGATCTCCCATGGTCCTCCTCACTGTCGCAGCCCCTGTTTTGAGATTGCTTGACAGAGGGCCGGACTTTATGTGCCCTCTGTTTCCCTTGCACGCGACTTCTTGCTTCAGGTGGGGATCTGCTTGCCCGATGGCGTGCTGAGCATTGTCATGGTCGCTGTCCTGAAAGCTAGCAGGCTTTGTGGACTTAGAGACCTTGGAACTTGGACAGATTCATGCTTCCTACTTTGGCCCCATGCGCCGTCATCGAGAAGTCGAGATTTCCACACACCAAAAAATCGAAGCTGCGACCTGTCAGTTGTTACCTTACATTCCCATTCAGGCAGCTCCCGAGAGTAAATCACCATAGCCTGGTCCAAGACTTGAGACCGAGTTGGCTTTGCGTGGATGATTTGCCATCTTTTTTTTGCTGTTGCTGCGAACGGTATGTGAAGCAGATGACAAATCAGAGTAGCTCTGGTTCTTTGTATACGTGCCACGTGTGCCGACATCACCAATGTATCTTTGCGTAATTTATGAGAGTATGCATGTCACGTGCATCTGTAGACTGTAGACATGCTGGGCACGCATGTGTGCACCAAGGTGCCTGCATACAGGGTATGCGTGCAGTGTTCGACGGTTGAATATGTGCTCATGTCTACACGTGTTCGCATGTGCCAGCATGAGCTTGAACATATGCACATGTGTGTACGGTGTGCTGTTAGCATCAGCGCATGCATGCATAGTCCTGCATAGTTACATAAGGCTGCATTGCTGAGCTTTGTCCATGCGTGTGCATGTATATCTACAAAATGTTCTGCCATGGGATCTATGCTTGCAGCATCATAATGTGTAGGATGTGGGCACCTTTCAGGTTTTGCATGAAATCGGTAGAACGGCACATGCTGGGAGCATGCATGTCAGCATCCATGTATGGCATGGTATGGTATGACATGGATGACGCATACATGCATGCATGTGTGCGACTTGCAATTTGTGGCTGTAAGCTTGTGTACCTAGGTAAAGCAGAAGCTGACACCGTCGGAGCTGGCCTTCACCATCAACGCAGGCTGCCTGACCTCGAAGCGCAGCTTTCGACTGTTTGGATGCTAACGCTTTTGCAGGCTACCTCCGCACACCCTCAGCAAAGAAAGTCCGTGCGGTGACCTCGTCTGCAAGATCCGCCTTGGAATCTGCGCTCCCCTTGGCTAGCAGACCTCGGCAGGATAGCCTGGAGGAGGCGGTTCTCTCCTTTGGTCTGCCAGTTGGTTTTGCGCCCCTTGGCTTCCAGACTGGGCATCTGCCTATGGAAAAAGGAATCCATGTCTGGGAGGCTTAGGTAGGGGCTCTCCTCGCAAGCGCAGGCGAGAAGCGCTTCTGGAGGATGTCGTGTCTTGACCTCAGCTGAAGCACCCTGGAGTCCCTTTACCATTACTAGCAGCTAGCACCAGTACTATTTCGTTGTTGCTGTGTCCGACCCTCGCCGGAGTTGAGGCGAAGCGAAGAATCCGGTGCACTTGGTCGGACACCTGGCGCCACCCCGCGGGGTGGGGCAACCCCCCGACAATCTGTGCCAGACGTGCAGGCGGGCAATGACATAGTCTAGGAAGCCAACCAAAGCAGCATCAGGTGTCTCATTTGCCACCGAAGAGAGCAGACCACAGCGCAAAAGCGGCCAGCCAAGGGAGGAATGAAGCAGCAGATTTCATTCATCGGATGCGTGAAAAGTTGGAATGCGCGAAAACCAAGCAGGAGCAAGGTTAGCTCGATCGCAGCAGTCATGCGACTTGCAACAGAAGCACTACGCGGAATGGATATCAGTTAAACGACTCATGAGCTTCGGTGTTGCACGCAGGTGCAGCCTCAACGGCTGCCTCCGAAGCCCGGAATCGGTGCGGATCGGGTTCCCAGCGCTGCGGACCAGGAATGGGAAGCGTTGATGCAGCAGGTGGCCTGGCATCTTATGGGCGCATGAAACTAGGTGAGTACCACGCATCCATGCATGCTTTCATGCGATGCGCGTTCTCGATGAGCGACAGTTCTTCAAAGCCACTATCTGGCTTTGGACACATAAGGGCTCGTTTTGAAGAGAGAATGTACGTATGTTGCCACTATGAGAAGCACGTTGCAGTGTTGCAGTGTGAAGAGCCATCTTAAAGGATGGTTCCGGTCGCGGCTGCCGCCTTTATGGCCTGCATGGCAGTGCTGCCTGCAGGCACAGCCCCAGCGGCTGCCTCCGAAGCCCGGAATGGGTGCGGATCGGGCTCCCAGCGGAGCAGACCAGGAATGGGAAGCATTGATGCAGCAGGTGGCTTGGCATCTTGTGGGCGAATGGCATTCAAAGGCGACAAGCAATTTGGCGGTGTGTCTTGAAAGCTTTCGTCTGGTTTTGTACACTTCAGGGTTCTTTCCTTGATTTGTTGCTGTGCACTGCCACGACGACGACGACGACAACATGAAAGCAGCCAGCAAGCAACGTGGCGATCTGATGGCTCCAAACCTGAAAGCACTGAGCAGCGAGATGCATTCACGAGCTGGCACCTGGAACATCTTCGTGCTTGGAGCGACGAACGGTATTGGAGCTTCCGGAACACTTTATAGGCAGCATACTTGAATAGCGACATCCGCAGTGTCGTGTCATGATGCGACAGTGCAAAGTATCCGTGGCCCTTGACGGCAGCACGTTGCACAAGAAAATACATCCATAGGGTTGATGCAGCAGCTGGTGGCTGGCATACGTCAAGCTTTTGTTGCAGCTGTGTTGGGACAGTCAAGCCTGGCTTGTTCTATACAGGCGTCGCATCGGCCTGCTCGCGGACCAGGTAGGGCGGCCAGCGCTGCCGACCAAGAATGGGAAGCAATGCTGCAAGAGGTGCATAACCATATGTGATCGAGTCGAGTGCCTACTCATTCGCTTTTGTCGTGAGCAGCCCACAGTTGCATTGACCACAGGCGAAGTCTTCTCGGCCGGCACACACACCGACTGTTGCAGAAATGGAATGGCAAGCACCATGCCAGGCCTGTTCTTGGCTCCGTGTCTTTCTCTGTGCAAGCTCCTTGACATGCGTTTATAGGCTACATGCCAGACTGGGCAGAACGAGTGGGATGCCTTCCTCCAGCAAGTCCCTGCTCTGCACACGGTGTGCTCGCTGCGTTACATCTGCTTGGATCCTTTCATGACCCAATCAACCGAGGAGCTGCAGAAACAAAGATCATCCAGGATGCCGGAGGCAGAGCCCGTGCAGGTAATGCACACGCCTGCCGCCGCACCAGCTGCGCTTGGCTCTGGAACCTCGACCCCATCGCAGCTGCCGCGGCCACGCTCGGCACACACATCCTTTGCAAGACAGCCGCCACCGTGGCAGCACGGTGTCAACATGGCTGAGACCCAGGCAAGGCAAGCCGGCACTTATGCGGTCCAGGGCCATCCTAGTCATGGCCATGCTGGCGGCCATGCTGGCGGCCATGCTGGCGGCCATGCTGGCGGCCATGCTGGCCATCGTTCGCTTCCCACACGCCCAGCTGGTTCGAAGGAGTCCAATCCGTGGCCAAGTCACTCCGTTCCCTCGGAGCCTCCTCCGCTGCCTCCTCCTTCCCGTGCCCCTCCGGCAGCCACGGCAGCCACGGCAGCCACGGCAGCCACGGCCCAAGCGCCTCCCACAGGTACCTGGCCCTGTGGGACACAGCCCGGATGCGAGGAGACGGAGGGCTGGCCGGGCAGCTCGATGCGGCAGGCCCGAAGCGTGAGTAGCGTCCCTGTTTGCCACGGCCTAGCGGCCAAAAGCTTCTGGCTGTGGATAGGCTGGGTCTTAGGTCTTCTCGACCATCGAAAGTTGCTGGGCAGGATCACGCCGCTGGCATGACGAGGCGCCGGAAGAGTCCAGACCCCCGCTTAAGCAAAGACCCGACACCTTAGACCTTGCTCCCAAAACGATTGCCATGGCTCCCGGCCAGATCGTTGCAACTTGCACCCTGGATCGTGGATTCTTTGCCTGGACCTTGAACCCCAAACTACGGATCAGCAGTAACCCTCTGCAAATCTATCCTTTGCCCGGTGCATGCTGCCCAGTCTGTCCAGCTTGAGAATAGAAAGGCCGTGCAAGACATCCCCCCACGTCCGATGGGGGTTTTGCTTGAGAGTTGCGCCGGCCCTCACTCTGCTCAGACCGGCGGCAGCCCCCACTACAGATGCCATGCCAGGAGGCAGGACCATGCGCAATGCATGACAACGCATGCCAAGCTGCCAATCATGCTGTGACGTTTACATGCAGCTGAAAATCCGCCAGCATCTCTGATCGACTGCTCTTGTGAGACGACCTACACTGCCATTCCTGAATTCCCAACTGATAGGTAACTCCGTGCATGCCACGAATCTCAGCCCGGCAAAACAGCCTAGGTATCGTGCCACGCGGATTCATCCCAGTCGAGGGCCAGGCGCTGTGTCTGGCGGGTGTCTTCGAAAGGCTTTGTTTTTAGCCTAGCCAGTTGAGAGAGGGCGCCTGCATGTCGTGTTTCAATCTGCGGCAATCCATTTAGCTACCAAGTTGATGTCTCTTTTTTGATGAGGATACGTCTTAAGGTCAGTCTCAGCAGATTTCGTTTCTTCGTCAGTGCCAGGCCGAGAATGACAGCCTTCGATAAGAGATTAAGTAAGAGCCGCTCAGTTAATGACGATAAGCCTCCTGTCATTGACACAAAACTCGACCCTGCAGGTGGAGTTCTTCTCGCAGCCGCTGCGCCGCTATGTGCCAGCTTTGCTCGTGGGCCTTGCGGTGGAAGCGACAAGTCCTCGCCCGAGAAGTGTCGTGAAGGACCCAGGAACTGAATGGAACTGAAGGCTTTGAAGATCGACTCATAAGACTTACCCTAAACCCTACACCCTAATCCGCCGGCCTTATCTGCTAGGGGGAAAAAGGTGCTCAAAAAAACCCTAATGGGTCCATGAGGTGCCGGGCCGCCGGGCTCCCTCTGCGTCGTTCCTTCGGGCTGCGCTCAGCTGCTCTTCAGCATAGTCCTGAAAGTGCGAGAGGAATGTGCCAGGACCAATGTGGGGCTCGGAATAATTAGCAAACACTATCCTGTGATAGGTTCGGCCTGAATATGCTTGAATCTGCCCCAAGACCTTTGCCCCTTCTGTAGCCTGAGGGGATCTCAAGGGTCTTGGCGTGGGTTCATGAATCAAGACTCAGCTGGCATGTTGATCTGATTTTGCTTTCACTGCTCTTGCGGCTTTGCGAATTGACAGATGGCTGCAGGGTGGCAATCACTGTCACTCTAAGCATCCCTATTGTCCGCGATTGGCACTTAGCTCCGAGAGCTGTAGTCGAGTCACGTCTCTGGCTGCAGCCACCGTTTTGCTGCGCACGGAGAGGCAAGTTCTTCATCCGTCGAGCTTCCGTAGGACGCTCCTTGGCTGAGGTCATCATGCAGTGATCGTCATCATAGTGTTTTATCATCATCCCCATTGTACCACCGTTACTATCATCATGGGTGTTGCTATGATGGTAGTCGTCGGAGTTCAGGTGGTTTTGGTTGTGGTGGTGGTGGTGGTGGTAGCAAGTAGAAAACAGTGTGCAGCAAACAGTAAGCAGCAACTTGAAAGTAGTACGTTCCGAGTAGTAAGAAGCATGTGGTAGGTGGTACTGTAGTGGCGCTAGTGGATAGTAGGTAGGGGGTTCGGGGTAGAAGAAGGTGCTGCTATGTGCTGCTGGGTGGTGGTGTTGGTGGTGGTGGTGTTGGTGGTGTTGGTGGTGGTGGTGGTGGTGGTGTTGGTGGTGGTGCTAGTTACACCTGGCTTAGGGCAACATGCCATCGTGCCTGGTCGTGCAGGAATTTGCAAGCGTGTGGTTTGCATCTCCAGTGCTAGCCAGTTTGATCGGGTGGCGGTCAGTGAATTGCCTTAGCAGAACCCGCTTTCCAGGCTTCGCTTTCCGTCGTGAGAGTGCTGTTCGGCAGATTAATCGATGATCGATTCCGAGCCCTGGTCTGATTGGCTGTGGATTTCAATCGGAGCTAGAGAGAACTTAAGGTCAGGGCACTGTCACACCGGTGTAAAGTGCATGTTTGTTGTTTGCCAAGCTTTTCTGAACAACTACCGACCAGACCAGTGCTGGAACTTGCTCCAAGCCGCTCTCCCCTTGTGGTTTACGGGGGTTTTCGGCTGACAGCTTAGGCTGAAAAGCGGCCAGCTGTTTAGATGCAGCTCAACGCAAAGCATCCCGAAGGGTTCCAGGTGATGGCAAAGACTCGAACTCATCACCTGCTCGATCCAGTTTCACCTGACCGCGGGGCAAGGATCGTGGGCTCTTGAGCAGCATATACGGGCTTTCCCGGTCACTGCTCAGGGCAGACTTTCTCGGTTTGGCCAGGCGACGGATGTCGTGTGGGAGCTATTGGCTCGAATGCGCGTATAAGACCCTTGTAGTGCCCAGGCAAAGCTCGGGCCAGCTTCTTTTGCCCATGAAGATCGTAGCAGCCTCGTTTGCTGCACTGGCGGCGCTGGTTTCGGCCTCGCCCGAGGTTTTGGAATCGGCCCTAGTTGGCGACGATCAATGCAATGGGGGCGAAGAGTCCTGTGTGCTAAATGCTTTGCAGCTGAAGGGCCAGAAGAGCTCCGCACAGGAGATGTTGGAAGCAGCAGATGAGGAGGAGCAGGAGGAAGAGGAAGAGAGTGCATGGCTCAAGGACATCAGCACCAAGACCAAGAACCACTTCAAGCACATCCTTGCTCCGCTGCAGAAGCCCATCGTGGCCAACTACCAGTATCTGACTGAGCTGGAGAAGTTCGTGAACTACACCATGGAGAAGGTAGCGAACGCCACCGGCCATGCAGTGATCTGGAACCGAAAGTCGTCTCTTCTGCAGGAAGATGAGGAGGAGGAAGTTGAGACAACTTGGGGCCGTCGTCGCCGCAGCACTAGCGGCAAGGACCTCCCTCCTCGTGCCCGCTACATCAACAAGATCCTCATCTACCTGGACAAGGAGATGGAGGCCGTGTGGAACTTCAACACGATCGTTGATCGAAAGCGCTGGGGTGTTGGCAACACGATCACCTCCTCTCCATATGGTCCCCACGGAGAGCACCCGGAGCGCTGGCGCGCGAACGGCAGCTTCCCCTTCCCACTCAAGGCTCCGACATCTCCCGTGCTGAACGTCAGCAACTCTCTCGTCATGCACTTGAAGCCGGAGAAGCGGGAGTACGACAACAAGTATGCCCAGCAGCTGGCTGCCGACTACCAGTCGCTGATTGACAACATCAATGATGCCAGCAAGAAGGGCAACGACCTGCGAGCACGCCTTTACAAGATGGACGCCTACGCAGACAAGTTTATTGCTTTGCCCAGTGGCGTTTGGAACAAGATCGATGCGCAGAGATAATGAGGTCTAGATAGAGTGGCTCCACTTCCTCAGACCTTTCCTGTGATTCACTTTTGATTCGCGAAGAATCGCTGGACTTGCAGTGTAAGTGGGATAGATAGATAGACGTAGCAGGAGGCTGAGGGCACCGCTGAATAGGGGCGGGTAGACACGGAGTCACTCGTTGCAATACTTGCTGCACCAAAGCCTTTAATATGTCTGACGTGGCTTTGGGTTGTGACTGCTAGCTCTTGGTGAGTGCACGAACATGATACCATTCACGGCGGCTCCAAAACACGCTTTAGGCACGCTGGTGATCGGGCTGGGATGACACGGAGAAACAGTGTGAACTTGCTTTATGCACTCGGTCAAGAGCGCTTTTAACGCCACGGGCGCTGATTCCGACTTGCCATGCTCGTCGTGCCGCGCAAGACTTCTGCGAAGTATAGGGCAAGTGGAAGAACCTACACCGAACATTCAATCTATTTGTCTTGCGCAGGGTGGATCCACATCCAACTCACATCCAAGCACCCGGTCCAGAGATGCGATCTAGGCTCCTCAGACTTGAACTTTGAACCTTTCTGTGGAAATATCGAGGCATCGATAGAAGTACTCGTCCACAGAATCTAGCTGAATCTAGCTCAGCCTCAGAGCGGTACTTCCTCTAAGGTGCAATTCTGTAAGGTACTTTCGATCAAGCTTGCGTGCATTATCATACTGTGACAGCTAGGGCGAGGATCAACGATAGATGCAGAGGTGTTGGGTCAATGTTGCAGGGTTGCTGATGTTGTTCTCGTTGCTTTGCGCATCCACTGGCAGACTGGTCGGTGAATGCAGTACGAGTCTGCTGTAAACTCGTTTGTTACCCTTATTCATTGTGCATGTACACGACTTGGATCGAGGTGCTGGGTATGTGTGACAGTAGTCGACGACTCATAGTCTGCTAGCACCGCATGTCTCGAAAAAGAGCCGACTTGGAAAAGGCACTTTGCAGAGGGTTGCTTCTTTTGACTACTTTCTGTTGGATAAGCAGACCCATTCAACAGATCTTTGCAGTGGAGACAGGGGAGTGTAGTGTCGCGGAAAGGATTGCCCTGGTCGTGGATAGATTCGGATAGATCGCTCACGATGTGGAGGTATTGTAGTGCGGGCACTGTCCCTCAACAGTGCATGCTGTTCAAAAGGAGGACTTTGAAAAAGCGTCCACTCGCCCTCTCCATCCATCTCTGTCGTAAAGCTCTTTCTTCCACGCAAGCTATCTCCGGTCCTGAGAAGGGCCGGCGACGGTCACGACAGATGCTCCGCAAATGTGGCAGCGCATCACGTACGGCTCTGCATAACTGCTTGCTTGAACCACGCTCTATCAGACTCTACCATGTGCAGTGGCGATTGACTTTTTGCGACTGTTGCGTCCGTTCACCAAGATCCTGCTGTACGGGCCGGACAATACGCTCAATGACGTGTGCGAAGGAGCGAATTCCAATCGGCGAGAGTGTGCGATGACATATCAAATAGCAGAGCCCACTTGCCACCGATAGTTATGTGAGTGCAGGTCCATGTTGTGCCGCTGCCACGCAGCAATAGTTGCGAACAGCGTTGTGCGTGTACCATTCGTTTTCCCACTTTTGTGAGCGCCATGCAGCTGCTCGGCGTATCATTGGCAGCACTCGCGGCGCTGGTTTCGGCCTCGCCCGAAGTGTTGGAATCGGCCCTAGTTGGCGA